TCTCTCTCTCTCTCTCTCTCTCTCTCTCTCTCTCTCTCTCTCTCTCTCTCTTTTCTCTCTCTCTCTGTCTCTCTCTCTCTTCTTCTCTCTCTCTCTCTCTCTCTCTCTCTCTCTCTCTCTCTCGTAAGAACACAAAATAAATAAATACATACATAAACAAATAAATACCTATAGATAAATAAAACATACATAAATACACAAATAACTAAGTAAAAAAAGTAAATAAGTAGATAAATAAATAGATATAATTCATCTAGCACTTGCTCTAACACACATAACTGCCGGGTTCAGTACCTGATTCTAGTCAGCTCTCTAACCAGGATAGCATTGCCAATTAAGATCAGTCCGATGTGGCTTTTTTTCGCTTACCTTTATTAATTTGTGGGGTCGATAACAAATAATAGCTTTAGAATTTTTGTCTCTTTATTATAAAAAAAGAGTGGGACAGGGGTGTACCCCCCCCCCTCTCAAGGCAAAAGGGGGTGGTTGGTTAGAATAGGCGACACAAACTAATAAGAGAATAGTCAAATTCTAGCTGATAGATTCAGATAATAAGGCTCATCTCCGCTGATAGATTCTTCTCGCTGTTGAAATAATCACTGGATTCGTTTACCTAAGTTCTCATAGTCAACGATTGTCTGATATGCATAAGATCATCAACACGGCTCCCGAAAAAGGGACTCTGGAAACAAATAAAATGAAGGTTGGGTCTCTATTCGTTGTATAGTAAGTCATTTATATTTCAAGGCAAATTTCCCCGTGTCTCAATAGTTGGTCATTGGGGCAATGAATTATGACCAACACGCATAAATTCTATTGTCCTGTACTGTCGGCTTCAGTCGAAGTTGCCATTGTGGAAGCCGTCTGGAGAGGGAGCGCATTAAAAATGTATCCCTGCCTCCCATTACTGTGCCCGTTGTCAAAGCTGAATTGACACGTTCCGGCATGGCACTGCGCGAAGGATATCATCTAGTGTGTAGCGCTCATCCGAGAGCCGGTTGTTTTGCTAATTATTATGTCTTAGAAGGCCTTTTGTGTTTTTGTAAGTTACACTTAGCTGTTCTTGGGGGGGGGGGGGGGGGGGGGGGCGAAGCAACACACAGCGATTTTAATGAATGGGTAACCTCACTTGGGTGTTTCTGAATCATCTCTCTTATCTGCTTCGAACTCGAATTATCAACCGTGACACACAAACATTCGGAATCTCTAAACGTTAATTAAAAGTAGTTTGGAAATGAAAAAACAAACCCACCAAAACAATAAGGTACAAATGATGATGTTAAAATCGATCAACAAAAACAAAAAAGTACAGACTACAGCAGTAAAAACACCGCCCCCTCCTTCCGTCTCCCTTTTTTCCACCCAACGTAATGGTTAAAATGGGTGTCTGTAAAGATAGTCGTTTAATAATATAAAAGTATTATAGTTATATATTACATAATGCACTATTGACGGTTAAAAACTGATTTTCTTGTATTTCAGAAGACCGGGTGAATCACGTCATCGGGAACTTCAACTTCTTCCATAAGCAGCACAATGACGTCATCAGTTCTCAGTCCGACGTCTTCGTTCTTGTTGGTTCTTGTCCTTAATGTGATGTTGGCTTCCATTCCTCTGAGTGCTGTCACAGCTGATGAGTTCTTCAAACAGGTGACTACAAAGTTCATCCTTTCACGTTCTCAAAAGTCAAGCCTTAGACTTCCGATGGAAGCGTCTGAGACGGTGTTCAAATATATAAAAAAGGGCACCGCGGAGCTGTAGATACGAGACAGGCGGCGGAAAAGGGGGGGGGGGGGAGGTAGTAGCTGATGGTAGAGAAGTTTTCCTCGGGATTGATGAGGTAGATGCGACTGGAAAATTATTCAAATGCTCAGGACAGACTGATAGAGCAGTGAAAGCCAAGATGCCTGAACACACTTACGTATGAGCACACAGAAACACACACACACACACACACACACACACACACACACACACACACACACACACACACACACACACACACTCACGTAATCACACGCAACCCTTCTGCCCCACCCACCCACATGCAAATACACAC